CCTGCCACTAGCGCCCCAGGACAAAATTGATCTGCTGGACCTCCAAAAGCCTTTTTTCACTTTAGACATTTTTAATCAAAACTCAAATCCTCTCTCCTCTTCATGTTCAAATAGTGCCCCCGAGTCACATCGGCTAATAGCAGGAACCACTTTGAGGTTCTTATAGTGTTAGATGGTATTGTGCTTTTGTGGTACATATTCCAAAACAAATGATCAATTAAATTAGCTCAAACCAGATGATGCACAGACAGTCTGGAGTTTTCTGAGGAACATCCATTGTCATAAAAAAGTTCCCTACTTCATGTGCTTGGGGGGCACAGACTGATGGACATACAGAGAAAAATATCCACAGTCTACTACCGCACCCACAGTTTCAACTCTACCATTCGGTTCTTGGCCTCCGCCTTTTGTCACTGTGCAGCGAAACTGCAGCATCAGTTTTTCACAGAATACAAAAACATGTTATCCAACACCACTTAGCCAGGCCTGTTGTTGCTTTGTGTTGCATTGTTTTTCTGCACACATGATAGGCCACTGTTTTTGAGCAAGCATGTGGTGGTGGTAATGGGTGGTGGACATGTCTGCCAACTGCCAGGTCAACCACTTGGAGAGGAACTCTTAAAGGACAAGGAAGCAGTGAAACACTGAATCCTGGTCAGAAGTCACACACTGAGCTCTTTGTATTCTGTTTACCTGGGGCAGAGTAACACAGTTTTCTGGTAATGTGACGTACAAAGGAACTGCTTATTTCTTCCCAAGTAAGGGGGCAGTGGTCCAAAAGAAGATGGGAAAATAACAATATTAAAATAAGCTGCGCTTTATTTGCCCTTTTCATGAACTTGATATTGATATGAGAAGTAGTACATGAGCTGTGTTTTAAAATGCACAATCTAGAAAAAGTCCTCCCCCAATCTCTGAAATATAGTTTAAAAATTCCAACTTTTCTTTCTGAAACAGTCAAAATATATATCTTTTTTAAGGAAACAAAAGAGACTGTCTTCCCCAGAAAACAACCAGGTACTGTCTGTCATTTTGGCAAGCTGTTATTATGACCTATGCTTACATTATAATGTTAGCCATCTTCTAGGGGGTCTGTGAGTAATACAGGTAATCAACAACTTTGATAGTGTATTTTTGTGCCTAAACCTAACCAAATTACAAGGAAAATCAAAGTAAGCACGCTGAGAGTCGATGCTTTCATTGGAAGCAATCACGTTTCAAAGACTCTTTAATTAGTCTTTTTAGACAGAGAAGAGCAAACAACCAGCATAATGATTTAAGTGAAGGACTTGCTGGAAAATGCGGATCTCACCTGCCCTCTTTCAATCCATGATCTTTTTCCAGCATATCTATGTGTAGGATCCATCAGAGTGAAAATGATAAGATTAGAGCCTGACACCTGCTTAAATGTGCTAGCTTACCCGTGAGATCTGAAAGTGAAGTAGTGCCTGAAAGTGGAGCCTTTCACGTCTCAGTTTTCAAGCAGTCATCTTTTGATCTGTTTAGAGAGCCTATAGGCCTGTGTCATGCCATTCATAACTTACAGAAAATGAAAGTACTATTCCCTGTATATCACACAGCACTTGTTTCAGTGAGGTTTACCTTCAGCTATTTTATTTTTTCATATAATCTCAAGTTACAGGGTTGATAAAGAACTTGACAGTACCCCCGCTGTTCTAGTTCCAGTACTGACAGTATTGATATAGCTGAAAGTCCAGCACTGTGGGTCATGTAATTCTTCTTTTGGCAGGGGCAGACATTTCTCAACTGCCATTCACAGTTGCCAGGGTGAACAATGCTCCACTGAGCTATAACTTATGGTCCTCACTCAAAGAGCCTAATACCATTAGCCAAAGTGGGAGTCAGATGAGAGCTGGAACTTGGAGAGGTAGCATTTGTGCAGGACGTGCATATGTGTTTTGTGCAAATGTTTCTTAGGAGCATCTACTGAGTTACAGAAAATGAAAATGAATGGGGAAGCAAGCCAAACAGATCTGCAGCCATTAAGTCATTCGTCAGGCAGTGACATCTCTGGGATCCCAAGCCTCTGGTCACATGCAATCCAAGCACACAACTGACTCAGCAGAAACTTCTGCTGAAACATCTTCCTGTAAAGACAACCCTACTTTATATGCTTATTTTGAAGATTGAAGGTCTCCAGATGAATAACGTAATGCAAGCAGGTATCAGAAAATTCAGTTCAACTAACAAAACATTAATTAATGTAAAGAAGACCTGGTAAAAGTACAATAAATAATCTTCATAAAGATACGCGGCGTTGTGTCTGGTTAACATTGCGCAACATATTCTTACATAATTGCTCCATGCTCAGCGAGGCGAGGGTTCTCTGCTCAGTGACACAGGCCAGACTTGAGGCATCAGAATGTAATTAATGGTTGCACATTATCAAGCAGCTGTTTGAGGGCTTTGTTCTGGTGCCAGCTCGGCAGTAGCCTCGTGCCTGTCTGTGCTAGGTAAGAGGACCCTCCTCTTTAGACTGGAACCGCTCGGCATCTGTGCAAACCTCTCATTTGTTGGAGTCACAAGGCTGTGTAGATAGAGCTATCTTTAAGCCTGAACACAGCACTTCAACATGGTCACTATCTTTTTTGTTGTTGTTTTGCCTACTGAAGCTTGAAGGGAGTAATATAATAGTAATAATACCCACAAGTAGAGTGTAAAATCAACACATGCCACAATAACTTCCTGCTGCACTGCACTCTTTTACCAAATCACCGATGGAAATGATTCCCAGATGATGTAAATACGCTGTCATACACTTTCAGCACAGCACTTTTTTTTCACATTAGCTTGCTCAGCACACAAACCAAAAAGCCATCAGGGTCAGTCAAGTCAGCAGACCAGGTTAACTGGCAACTCTGGAAAAATGGTTTAACACTTAATTCAGCTGTAGCCGCGCAAATGCACAAGTACCAATATGGATGATTGGAAGGAGTCGCTAGGCTTTGAGAGCTTGTGGAAAAATGACTCTGCCGGACAGTTTTAGTTCTCACAACTCCACTCTGAATCATTAAACACACCTCCCTGAATCACTCTTAGTCACAGCCTGACAAAAACCCAACCCACAAATGACTCTCTGTTCACCAGAGTGACGACTTCACTGGATCCATCGGATTTTTGGGTGCAGTCCAAATATTTTTTTTCTCTCCTACTTTTATGAGACTTCCACTAGTGATATGTGTCATTAAGAATGAATGAGTGGATATGCTATTTTGTAATTAGAGGATGCTGCAAGTGGCCTGACTCGGTTGTAAGTAAATGACTGTGAATAGGGAGGGTGTTATCTGTGTTTTTTCCCAGATGTACTGTTTTTATTTTTGCTATGTAAAGTGAAACAGAAATGTTTTACTATTTTGCTTTAGGAACCCCAAGCAGCGAGACTAACGGTGGAACCAGGCACACTTCATTCATCTGTGAAAGATGGTCCAGAACTCAACCTCTCAACACTCATGTGTCTTTCAATATCTAATTCAACAAAGTCATCATACTCTTACCTACATGTCGCTCTTACCCCTTACTGGTTTAGACAAGGACCTCTGTGTTTAGATAATGAAATTAGCCGGCCTCCCTGAGGCTCTCCCTGCTTCATAAACTGCTTTATTAATTGCTATCTGCATTTGGTAAGTGCTACAAAAGGCTACTGTAAGTATATCCACTCGTAACCGGAGCGGATTCTATATTGATTGCAGATGGTGTCATTACTCAAAAAACCCAGCTGTGTAATTTAAGTAATGGAGCAGATTATTAATTAAGATGAAGGGCTACTTAACATTGATCAGGGATCCAAGCTCCACTTTGCTGTAATGCATAAATAACCTGACATGGGTGCGATTCCCCAACACACAGCGCTCGTTAAAGCTCATCGCATGTGCTGATATCACAGATTCTGATACGCAGTACCTCCTGGTTTCATCTTCATGAGTGCAAAGCCTGCGCCTTCACCCTGCAGTGCATTTATAGCTTAAGTAGCAGGATATAGAGGAGTTCGTGGAGAACTACTTGAGGCCAAGTGCTGGTATAATGCAAAAGTGCTCTTTCAAAGGCGTGATTATCTTGGCGTGGCGGGAATGGAAGAGGCAGCATTCCGCTGCAAGCACGTTAAATAAGGTGACGTGCCAGATGAGAATTTGTATTTATTTATTTATTGTTTTTAACACAGAAGCTGATGACATGTACTGTACAACACTGCAACCGCAACATCTGTTGGGCTTTGCAACATTCAGGAAATCTCAGCATGCAGTCCTTCCCTGATGGCACACATATCCTGTGTTTGATGGGAAAGCAGAGCAGTGTGACAAACAGGTCATGAGCATCTTCTCGGGGCAGCCAGGGTCATGTGAGCGACAGCGAGAAAGGCTCAAGGCTCGGAATAACTCTTTAAGGCGGAAGGCAGGAACTCCTCAAGGACAACACTGATGCTGGACTTTGTAAACTTGCTTTCTATTTTTTTTGTTGTTATTATGCCGTCCAATTCAAGGATTTGAGAGGATCTGTATTAATTCATATTTACTAATGAAACGAAACGCTTAGTTATTTGCACGCCAAAGTACAGATCCTTTTTCCAAGAAGAAAAAGAGCATGTATTTAAAAAAGGGAGCACAAAAGTAGTTTTTAATGATGAATTAAACTGACTCTTATGCCTAACAGACCACTGGCTTTGCAAAAGCACAATAGTACTTCCATCCATCCATCTATTTTCTTCCGCTTATCCAATTCAGAGTCGGGGAAGACCTGGAGCCTTTCCCAGCTGTCATATGGCAAGAGGTGATGTACAGCCTGTACATGTTTTTGTACCAGGTTTTCTAAGCAGGGCTAACACAGAGTGACAGACAGCCATTCGTACTATTTGGACTGTGGGAGGAAGCTGGAGTGCTTGAAAAAACCCACACAGACATGAGGAAAACATGCAAACTCCACACAGAAAGGCCACAGATTCAAACGCAGGGTCTTTTGGCTGTGCTAACTGTACAACGGAATTCTGACCCCTCCAAAGTACTTAAGTTAAAACCAAAATCTCAATTAGATATTCTGTAAAGGAAAGAAAACATGTGACCTAGTCTTTGACATCACAGTGCACATATTTATGTATGAACATCTGCTCTTCTCTGGGGCTATTTTTGGCCTGAAGTTTTTAAAATTCAAGGTCATGGAATAACTGATATAGTCACACAAGCTTCCTCATAATGAAAATACTGTAATGGCTTCATCTGGTTCCCTATTTTGTGTTAAATGAGAAGTTATTCAAATGCATCTCTTTTCCTTTTAGGGGAATTTCTTCATTTGTTTTTTTTTACTCTTTACTCCTACGAGTCGGACACAGGAAGTTGTTGCAAAATCTTGGATTTCAACAGAAAAATGGTCACTCCTTTCATCCGCAGAGTTCCTCGTGAATGCCTCTACGTGCTTAATCACGCTCTTCACTGTACAGTTTAAAAAGAGAACGACTGACTTAAATCTACTTGAGCGAAGTCGTAACTGTCACCGAGGTGCTTGATTTTTCACAACCCCGCCGACTCCACTGATACAGGGAGAGATCTGAGCGCGAGCTGCGCTGCTGTATTTATTTGTTTATATAATGATGCCACACTCTGTAGTAACTTTCTCAGATGGATCTGTCAATGATTGATGAAGTATGCAGTCAGAAGTCACACAGCTTTATAGCAGACATCATATTATGCTGATAGGCTGCAGAAGAATTTAATGTTCTGCCACAAATAGGCTCTCTGTAGAGACCTTATAAGGTTTACAGGGTGCTCATACAACCAAAGAAAAACAGGGGTTTTCTGTTATTCTGCATTTGAAGACACTGGTGAAACTCCTACACAATGTTTTAATTTGTTCTATATGTGTCAAACGCAAGAATTTACATTTACTGTCATTTGCAGCTACAGTTTTATCCAAACAGATGCATGGTTTTATTTTTAGAAACCAAGTTAATGAAATTGTTTTAAGAATATCCTAAAATCTAAAAGTTTTTTGAGTGTCTCGTCTGCCTTTGTTTCCTGGTGCACAAGATATCTCGTAGTTCATTTATTCTCCATATGTGGCAGATTGCTGAGTCACCCTTCTGCTCTGCACCTGTTCAGGTGTAGTGATTTTAATGCTCTCTTTGGAGTGCTGAATGCAAGGCTCCCGGTTACAGCTGGCATTGTCAAAGTGCTCGTAGTTGAGCTATGTGGCAAGATGGCCGGTGTCAGCAACAGTAAAAGAGCTGGGACAGTAAATTGACTCTGAACTGATGAGTGGGAGTGTTGGGTTGTGGGAAATCTGAGCTCATTCCCTCCCTTTTCAAGGTCCAGTAAATATAAGGGTAGTACGTCAACATTTCCTGCACATCTCACAGAGATGTAAAGGGGTGTTTACGCTCACTCACCCGAAGGACAAGATGTTGAAAATACAAAAGAGCTTTTTAATGAAATTCCCCACAAAATATCAAACAGCTTTTATAGCTTTTCATAAGATTCTTCAAAATCGTAAGATTAGATCAGAGTGCGGAGTGACAAATTTAGATTTTTGTATGAAAATCTAAATTTTTCAGTCTGTTGGAGAGGCATTAGGACGCAGCTGAGCGCTGTGGAGAGGTTGTGTCTGGGCCACTAAACAAGTCCCGTGTCCTAAGCAACACTGGGTAAGGGCCATCTGTCTCCAATACCAGAACGTTCAGGCAAAGCAGGCGGGGAAAGAAAAAGAGTTTCATGTCGCAGCTCCCCTGATCAATGGCTATTGATTCTTCACTTATCTCAAATACAGCCTAGCTGATGAGATGTCACACTTCTGACCTCCTGCAGGGAGAGGGGAATGAGGGATGCTAGCTGGGTAGGCATGGTGTTGTGTTACAGATATACTCCATTCACATATACAAAAGGGGAAAATTTTACTTGCATACCTGTAATGTTAAGGAAACAAACATGCAGGCATAATTACACTGAAATTGTATATTCATGCAATGGAAGGCTGCAATTATCCACCCAGTGGATACACTTTTACAGGTTTGATGTGACAAACCTTGCATGGACAGTTACGCTCCTATCCTCTTTACTGTCCATCTCTTAACCTCATCCCACTGTGGCTCTCACTCTCTTGATGCAGACAGACAATTAATAAGTGCTTTGTTGGCCGAATGGATCACATTCACCACAACTGCTGCGCTCAGCAGACAGCTCAAATAAATAAAGAGCAAGCAACCCCTCTAAACTGACAGTCACAAAGATAGATGGATTGCAAAGTCACAATGACCTTTGACAATATCCTATTTTTAAAGCCTTTTTGGGATCTCACATCTAGAGAAAAAGAAGGGGAAAACTAGCTAGAATAGCAGTAACAGTGGCAAGATAATCAACACTTTTCCAAGTCATAATAAAACAGCAGAAACTCCACAAAAAGCTAGCTCAAGAGCATGCAAATGCTCCATAGCTTACAGATCAAAGAGCTCAATGACAGGAGATTTTACAGAGCATAGGAAGATGATGGTTTGGTACCACAGAAAAATCCCCCACTGTGACTTTGTGTACTGAATGTTAAACACTGGCCAATTTTTCACCTTTTCTATTTACTGTCGCACATTTTTATGTGCAAGATTTCATAACTCCTTTGAGTTTCCAATAAATCCTCACTATATTGAGATTTGAATGTGTTGAAAAGCACAATTCAAAGTATTCTTAAGTGCGACAATAAAGAAATATGCGTTTGAATTTCCTTTTGCAGACATGTGTTGGCTATCACTGTCTTTGACTCTGTGCAGATATGTGATGTATTCACTGTGCCTTGACATCTCGAGTAATTGTGTTTAGACAATTATACAGCATACTGCTTGTGAAAGAGAGATTTCATTACACAGACTTTTCTCCAGTATTTCAATATTTTACAAATGTGACACATTTGTGGGTATACCCTTAAAACAGGTTGTTGTTCATGACCCCAGTCTAAATGGTATTGTATGAAACATGTCATTGGAGCCTTAAGATTAAAACAGCATTGATAAACAACAGTTTTGCTTTAATTAGGTAAACGTAGGAATGCTAGAGAGAAAAATATGTTGTTACAAGTGAAAGTCCTAGATTCAGAATTCTACATGGGTCAGTATTAACATCAAAATATACTCAAAGCATCTAAAGTAAAAGTATTCATTATACAGTGAGGGGGGTCAGGGAGGAGACAGGAGCCTATCCCCTCCCACTGTCATAGTACAAGAAGTTTTATTATCACTGATTAATTATCAATTACTTTTATCTCTCACTTTAATGTTGAAGCTGGTAATAATTTGACATGATTTGTTTACTACAGAGCACCTCAATCTATAATAATGTAGCACAATTTACTGGTAGCTGTATTATATTAATCAGAAATTTAAAATAAATGTAGTGCCTCTTGACCCAATCCCACTCCCTTGACATGTCCCTGACATCAAGAAGAATAAGCCAATGTAACATTTATGGAGCTTAGAGACAGGCAGATTTTCTAGTGATGTTAACAATTTGGCTTGTGGAGTACAACCATGTGGTCGAAATAATCACTTTCAGGCAAAAAAAAAAAAAATACATGAGAGGTGAGCACAAATAGCCTTGAGGGTTTCAGGCGTAATTCTCCATCAGTCAGATCTTTGCTGCATGTCATATCTGCTCTCTCCCCACAGCTCATATTTGATAAATGGATAAAATACTGAAGAAATACAAATGAATAGATGAAAATTCATCTAATGATTTCTAATCATTTCACTAAGGGAAATATCTACATAAATATACAGATATGTAATTACTCTGAATAAAATCTTTAACATAACATTTAGAATTTTGGTTAAAGTTATCCACAGGTTGCTCCTCCTGGATTCATGATGTGTAATGTCAACTGTAGCTGGCCTCTGGTGATGAGAGAAATAGAAACTGAACTGCTCAGCTGTTACTCGGTGAGACTGCTCAAATAAATTATTTATTCGAAATGACAGAGTGTGATTCTCTTCTTCGTCTGACCCCGTTTAACCATTATCTGCCTTCTTTGTGGGCAATTTCAAAGGAAATAATACACATTTCATAATGGATAAATTATTAGGAAATGACAGAAAAAGCACAAACTTGCCCAGATTTAGAGCAGAAACCATGGAAATAATTACATTTCTGACTACAGTACTATTCGCTGACAGTGTACACAAAATGAGTGCCCTGATTCCTAATTCGCAGATCATGACTGCTGTGAAATGCAATTAATGGATTCATAATTTATTTAGTGAGCTGTGATGAGCAAGTTCCTGGGAGCTCACTGAGACAGAATGCAGTATACACTCCATACACACTGGGTAAGCACTAGGTGTGTTTCAAAGGATGTGCAAAAAAACAAAAAAGGAACAGTACATCTAAATAATTTTAGATGTAGCTGCAGTTGTGGTTAGAAGTTTACATACACTCATCCTGGGCTTGGCTGCCATGGCAGTTTTGGACTCTTTAAACAGTTCTTTTTCCAGGGTATACACCCTAACTAATATTTGGTTAAATGTCCCTTGGCAAGATCCTTTTGGTAGCCATCAACAAGCTTCTGGGATAATTTTGGCTTAATAGTTTGGCAGTGGTCCACCTCCTTCATTAGTCCATCCACCTTGTGTAATAGTGTACGAGTATTGCTGGCAGCAAAACAGCCCCAAAGCATAATCCTACCACCGCCATGCTTTGCAAGCTGAACAGTGTTCTTACGTTTGAGACCCTCACCTTTACTCCTCTAAGCATACCTCTTGTCATTGCGGCCAAATAGCTCAATCTTTGTTTCATATAACCATAAAACTTTTCTCCAGACCGTGTGGGCAGATTCAAATTTCAGTCAACCAATTTCAAATGTCAATTTTCATAGCAGGCTTGAACGTCAGTGGTTCCTGAGTTGTCCCTGAACATCCTAACCCAGGGGTGTCCAACTCCAGGCCTCAAGAGCAGGTGTCTTGCAGGTTTTAGATGTGTCCTTGATCCAACACAACTAATTTAAATGGCTAAATTAAATCCTCAACATGTCTTGAAGTTCTCCAGAGGCCTGTTAATGAACTAATCATTTGATCCCGATGTGTTGACCCAGGGTGAGATCTAAAACCTGCAGGACACCGGCCCTTGAGCCCTGGAGTTGGACACCCCTGTCCTAACCAATTCCCTCTTTTCTGATAGTCATAGTTAGGGTCTTCTTTGAGACCTTGGTAGTGACACATCTGAATAACTTGTACTTATGTATAACTGTTTGAACTGATGATCCTGGAATTGTTTGCTATTAAGCTTCTGTGATGGCATACGCCTAAAAGCCTGGTGTGTGTTGGGAAACTAACCAATTTAAAAATTCTCTACCAGTCTTGCCAAGAACAGTGATAAAATATCCAGACAAATTATGGCAGAATGGTGTTGATGTCTGCCAAAAGTGACTTGTCAAGGTGTAACTTTCTAATGGACATTTATCCAAATATAGGGTCCTATGTATACTTTTGACCCTGTGTAGGTTATAGAAAATCCAAAATAAATTAAAACTTGTGCACTCTATTCTTATTTTGTTTTTAAGTATTTAAAGAAGTGTTCTGCAAAATCATTCCACCCTGGAAAAGAACAGTCAAAGAAATCATTAAAACCCTGAAATTACACCCATGATTGTGTGTAAAGTTCTGGCTACAGCTGTACATTAAAGAATAAAATGTGTTAAACTCCCTGACACACACCAAGTTAAATATAAAATTAAGAACCAAAGGTCTCTTTGGGGTGATACAGATGTCAAAACAGTGACTGAAAAGCCTATTTTGTGGAATGAGTGTCAAGCAGAGGACACGGTCTATCTCTGTTTTTGTTTTGTTTTGCTTGTTCAAAGAGACAGATGCCATGGAAGCAGTCTGAAAAATGTGAGACAGCAAGATTCCCTGGATGGCTGCCATGTCCCTGCAGGTACAAGAACACGAGGATTTGGGAAGGAAGCAGGACGCAGGTTGGTGATAATTGGGGGTACCCTCTGGAAATCTCTGCTTTGTAGTTAAGCTTTGTTTGAATATGACGCTATTAATGAGGATGTGAGGGAAACACTTGTAAAGCCACAAAGCCGGAATTTATATCAGCTGTACTAACAGAAATGTTTTGCATGCTGTTCATTTAACCACAACTGGCACGCAGTGAGTGATCTGATGAAGTGATGCTGGTGGAAAAAAAATGTAAATACGACTTCAGCTGAAAGATCCTTCAGGGTATTGTGTTCGTTTACAATACAAACCAAATCATCTGTTCAAATCCACAGGAAGAGGCCTAAATATGTAAAGCCTAAACTCAAATGTTCTCCAGCCAAATTATGCTGCCAGATATTTATCCTGTGCAAGGGCCTGATGGGCTGCACAGTGACTCAACTTCCACCCATTCCTGTCTCAGTATAACAAGTGTTTAGGCTGTTTGCCATAAATCATGTCCCTGCCAGATGTTGCCAAGCAACTGATTAATTAGCAGAGCCTCCTGAGTGAGTAACAGTGGAGCCAGTATGGGAGAGCTCATTTCAGTCCAGTGGTCCAAAGATCCCACCAGCTTTGACACCTTAACGGACATAGAGAGCCATTTATTTTATATCCACAAGGAGACTTTTGAAGGAATACTTGAGTACATGATTTGGGAAATAGCACTTATTTGCTTTCTTACCCAGTGTTAGATGAGAAGGTGGCTACCACTCGCATACTTATGTGACTTCTGCAGAGTTAGACACAGCAGGTGGTTTGGTTTGATTAATGTCCAAATTTTAAACTGAATACATCTTAGTGTAGCTAATTTCACAAAGCATTATACGCTGGACTAGTTAATCCACTGGTTGCCTGCCAACTGCAAAGTGATGACAATATTCACGTGTTTCTAAATAATATACTTCTTAATTAGTGATTCTTAGAGCTGCTGGTGGAAACTTTATTTTTCCTTTTTTTTACACTTAGTCAGAAAACACCTGGTTGTCTCTCACTTATGCTTGCAAAAAATAACAACTGGTGATTTAACAGTAGTGAGAGGGTATTAACCTTTTCATCTCACTCTTCACAAGAAAGCAAGTTATCATTATTTCCCAAAATTTCAAACATTTTAACCAAGAGAGGGAAAAATCTATTTATTTAAACACACAGTGCCTTTAAGATGGCTTAATTGCTTATGTAAAGGCAATATATGAAGCTACATTAGGCCTCAGGTACACAGATCTAGAGACTGGTACGTGATAACCACAGATTGCCAGGGTAAACTGTGTATTTTCCGGTTGATAGATTGCTGGTTGGTGGTAGTGTCAGGTGAAATCAGTCACAAAGTGGCACTGCCCCAAAAACCTCATCCAACCTTGCTTTGGTTGCTAGCAGATTGCCACATTCCTCCATTGTTTGGATGCAGAATTATCTGCAAACACTGGGCAACTACCCAGCAAGTGATGGTGAAACAATAGCAATGCGAGCCAGAAACGAAGTCTTTCCCTTCAAAGTTCATGTAAAAGATGGGCCTTGTTGTGCAACAAACACATTTCAAAAGGGACAACTTTTACTTGTTTACTTGGATTTTTTCCCCCACAGAGACAAATATCCTGCTTCTAAATTTGTTGCCTTTTTTTTTCACAGTAGATAATCAGCAGAGGATGGATGGATGGATGGATGGACGTTCCAATACTCATATTGTAATTTGCTTGCGAAAGTGTCCTAATTTTGCAGTTTTCTTGTGCACCATGGTTTTAAGAATTAGTTACAAATCCAGTAAATATGTGTTTTATTTAAAAAGACTGAAAAGAAAGAATTTCATGAGTAAATCATGGCATGAGACTGCATATGTACTGGGTGCTGAACAAGGCATCCTATGAAGTAGGCTTTGGCAGTTTGTTGCCAGTGTAAGTGGATGAGAAAAACCTCTTTTTCTTTTCTTTTTTCCCTAATGATCATAGCTGGCTGAGCCGTAGTTGAACAAACATAGCTTGCATTTTCTGTGCCAGAAATGGCCTCAATCCACAGGGCAGTGGGTCACACTTATACATGCGCACAAACACATGAAGACAGATGCTCAAATACTTAACTGACCCAACTCAGACATTATCAGTTCTTCCATGCGGTAGAGTCAAAGCTGTCTAATAGAGGACGGTGGTCATATTTTGATGCCCAACTCCATTTGGGTTAATAAGAGGACTGTAATTAGCTGGGAGGATGGAGAAGGTATATGAACCATGTTAGGAAGCTAAATGGTCCAATTTTCCCAGTCATGTGAATGCCTTTTCCCCACATCACTCTTGGCAGTCAGTGAGGCTAAAAGACACAATTAATCTCCCATGGCTATTATGGACCCAGAAAATAGATGGGGAAAGCACACTGAGACAGAAAGGGGATATGTAATTTGCTGGGGATCACTGCACGTTGGCTGAAACCAGCTATAATTAAAATAGCAGTCAGCAAAAGTTTGACAATTGTGCTATAATTTGTAACGGGATAATTAAATTAACACTTCATAGAGGTGCTTTCTAATTATCTTGTAGTTATACTGTTTTGCGTAGCACATACATACAGTGCTAATTTTATTTAGTTCAGTTTAAGTAGCTGGAATATTTTGACAAACTGCAAAGTAACATATAAGGCAAAACCATTTAAATAAACAGTTCCTTCTTAAAAGATTTTAATGTGTTCAGGAGAGGCACTAAAGACGAACTTGTGGCATCGTCTGAACTATGCAGTAAGACACCAGAGACGTTCTACAGGCTTTGATAATACCCTGCCTCTGTGTCTGTGTTGATAATACCTCCCTGTCTGTGTCTATAGAACTCATAATTCCTGTTCTGTCAGACTGGCTCTCGGTAACCATTATTTGTCTTTAGTGGCATGAGCTGGATTTGGCAGACCTGTCACTGCATGCACGCTTGCATACTGTTTGCATGTATCAGTATTACACATTCCTTAGGATGGATTCAGATCTGTACCACTGTCTTGATCCTGAGCTGAATAACAAATGAACATCTCTGCCGCCTTCAGCTTTAACTCGCTGATTTCCCTGGGCTGGAATTTCTCCTAATAACCAACTGCCTGCCTCCCTCAACACAGCAGCACTGTCAGAGAATGAAAACTCTGATGCCTCAACAACTTGCATGCTGCTGGATGGAGTTTTTTCTCCAACAGATGGCCATTTGCTCAGGGCAATAACAATATCACTGGAATGAGATAGCAGGAATACTAAGCAGTTATGAATTTGGGTTCATTTTCTGTTAATTTTCTGGTCATGACAAGATGTGTTCCTCAGTCTACTGGGTTGCCATGTTTAGTTTTCCTGTGATACCTGTGGGCTTTTTTCCTTTCTGTGTGCTTATTTGTTATTTTTGGCATGCCAACTACCTCTGTTACTTTAGATCTAGATCTTGGCTGTTTTGGGTCCCATTATTTTCTTCCTCAATTTCACAGTTACCTATCTAATCTCATTTTGCAAGGCAATTCAACCTCAGTCTAAGTAGCAGTCTGAGAGCGACATCTCCCAGACTGTTACGTATTGTCCACAGCCTATTTACATTAAAGCAGACATGACTCTTTAATGAAGTGTATACCATTGTAGTAATCCTCTTTACTTTTAATGTAAAAACACATAAGCTCTAACTGTGTATAGATGCTTTAGTGTATTCTAGAGCTTTGGTTGCTTCACAGCACTGAGCCGCTGTAGTTATCCCCCGACACCAGGCATTACCACTGGCATTCTGCTGTCTGACTCAAAGTTCCAATCGGCCAATGAATACCAAATCAGCGCTTTTAAATACAGCCAGGAATACACTGTCAAAAGGAAAAATGGTTCGCCGCCACCCCCACCAACACTACCCCCTATTCATCTGCAGAGTCACATTTCAAAAAAGGCGCAGGGGTTTCAGCTATTCTCATCTTGAACATCTCCCACAGGTGTGGCCGTAACTCTGTCTCGACACACTCTTGCACTTAAGCCCTGGGATGATATCAAACCAAGATCTTAGCACAGGACAGTATTGCAGTA